ATTTCACAAAAAATAATTGAATATCAATTCAATAAAAATTTAATTAAAGATTTGTGATTTATGGGTACATTCTCTCGTTTTAAGAATTTTCACGGGAGTGACGATGGATCGAACAAACATGAGAATAGGGAAGGAAAAGGGAAAACGAGAACGATTCCAAGTTTTAAAAATAAGGCAAATGTCCCAGTGGTTGACGCTATTTGTTTAGACTGATAATCACGTGTTATGCCAAAAAAGTTCTTAATTATCAGTCATACGACTACCTAGGTATGTTAATTTATCCGCTCACGCGATGCGCTCCTCCTATCGCAAAATGGCGGCTATTTGGTTTCGCAAATTAGAAAAGCATTCAGTTTAAATACAGTTTTTATAAATAAAAATTATTATTCTGCATTGTTAAATAAATACCCTCCGTATTACCAACAAAAACATCTCAAATAAAATGCAGTAATACACCGCAAATCCTGCACTTAAAAAGCACTAATGAAATTTTTGGTGTACTTGGATAAATATGATAATATTCCGTTCGAGTGGTTCTGATGTTTACCATGAAATTACTCCTTAAAGTATAGTTTATAAACATTTATATGCAGGAAATGAAACTGTTTTTCCGGATTTAAACCGCATATATTTGTTTTTTCAAACAAACCGACGTTTCGGGCCCTTTACAGTTCCCTTATATTATATATATATAATTTGTAAAACTTAATGTAGCGTAAATTGGAATGTTTTCTTTGTAAAATTAAAAATAAGGTATTTAATTAATAACTATTGTAACTATAGTGAAAAAATAGGGTGGTTTGCATTAATATTAGACATAACTGGTTGAAGACTGTACCACCTCAGTCAACCGTGACCATGGGACCTATAAAGAGCCCGAAACGTCGGTTTGTTTGAAAAAACAAATATACGCGATTTAAATCCGGAAAAATAGTTTCATTTCCTATGTGTAACAATCGCGAAAACCTAAGAACTCGATATTTATATTCAGGGTACATTTTAAAAACGCTACGTACGGTATGTTTTCAATAAATAAACACCGAAATCACCAGCCCAAACAATAACACACACGATTGTCGTGACGTATCTATAAAGTTGTTTATTTTTTTTAAATGACAGACCCAGGCATTAAAAACTTTATGGTTTGCTAGAGTAGTTACCGAAATAGCAATTAATATTAGTTCTTTTACCTGTTATAACTTCGATATCCGATAAATCGGTATAAAATCATCACCGGCACCTCTAGGTGTGGTATGCGTCTACGGCTGCATGTATCGCGTGAGCGGATATTGTACGGTGTGTCATTTCATTTTCTAGGAACTATAAAATTTAAAATAAATAAATAACCTCTAAAATTGTACCAGTGTATGACAGACAAAAATTTCTAATGTCCCAATGGTTGACTATGGCAAAATGAGATCAGTGTACTACGTATTTGACAGGACATTATGTTAAGATTTCATAGATATTTGATAGAAGAGGACGATAAAAAGTAGGATGACAATACAACGGAGAAGGTCAGCATGATCACAAACGTTAATTATATACAACAATATTTAATTAAGAATGACGATTCTCACATGGAACCGTTAATGGAACAACGACGAACGACAACGAATTTTGCCGATGCATAATAGAAATAAATGGGTTGGCCAAATAGTCTTTACGGTTTTGCCACTAGATAACTTTAAACTGAAAAATAACATTTTTCTTTATGTCTAAATGAATTGACGAAATGACGAAAGCCGAGCAGTAACGTCAGCATTACTTTGTTCCGGTTTTGAAGGTAAGGGCGCTGGAAATTACAGGCATATGGGACTTGTCACCTGATGTCTCAGGGTGACGGGCGCAGTGACAGCGCGTGATATCTTTGCGATTTAAAGCTCTGAGGGGCACTGCAACTGTTATGGATTGTCGTGTAGCTAAAAAATATCAAGATTTCCAAGCAACTGCGAGAGGATATTGAGTCACAGTTATAGAGAAGTATAGTTTAAATAATAATTACTGGGAGAAAATATCACCGAGTGACCACTAATAAAAATGTCAAATTGACGGTCAAGGGAAATCTTGTGAGTCACTTTCCGTGGCTAGTTCCGCGGAGTGATGATGCAATAAAATGTCGCATTATGCGCAGACGCCAGCATTGACCGTGCATATGGTGACACCGTCTCATACGTGACAGTGTTACGGATTTATTCAGGCATTGGTGGCAAGGAAAAAGATGCCATTACGTGGTTTCATAAGAACTAGGACTTGGAGAACCGGTCCGGTTCTTTGATTCCCGATGATTGGCTCAACTCAGTACCGGTACTCCCGGTATTCCCGGTACTTCTTGAAAAGTTTAAACTGTAACCAGTAAGTATGCTTTTTCTGGGTAATCCGTACCTATTCAATTATTAACCATAAACAATAAAGAAAAACTTCATTTTCTTACTAAACTAAAGGTTTTTACTCAAAATATTTATTTGACAGATAATTACCATTAAATTTAACATAACATTATAATGTACCTCGCCAGTACCGGGATCTCCCGGTATTTCAGGAACGCAATCCCTAATTAGGACTGAGTACGTCAAAAATAAAACCAAACAATAGAATGCAAGATATAATTTAAAATGCGATTGGTTTGTCCTTAATTAAACCTGTGCCTCCTGCTCCATTTGACTTCTGCGTTCTAGTTCTTCGGCAAACTTAGCACCCCTAATTTGAAGCTCCTCGTTGCTGGGGATGTAGACGGCTGGTTTGTTAAGGTCCTCCATATTAACGTCCTCGCTCCAGGCTCCCGGGCAGTTATACAAGCGTCTAATTCTCAGCATGTCCCAGCCAGTAATGTAATCAAGTTGACCCATTTCGTGGCCACCGTCCTAAAAAATATCAGATAACGTAAGAAACAATGATATATAAATTTAAGTTTTTATAGAGTCACAAAATTGCTTTGCAATCAAGTCAAAGGAAAATGTCAGTTACATAGATATAGGATTTGCTACAAAATATAAGGTTGACAAGGTTGTACATACACGAAGAGCTACGATAGTTGGTTGTCCATTGTGACTGAAGGCATAAGCTGAATAATGTTGGTTGCTGGCATACTCGTAGGGAAGACCCAACATGTCGCCGTACGCCTCGCTGAGTAAGTTGAAATTACCCTCAGTGCCTGTTGAAATTGAAAATACATGAATTTATAAGTGACAGTCAAAGTCAAAATCATTTATTCGATAAGTAAAATAAATTTACACTTGAAAATGTCATTTTCAAGCCACTGTTCGTTCACTGTGGTGACTTCCCTGAGAAGATCGAGCAAGAAACTCTAGGGGTTTCTCTTTTCAAATAAACTGAAATGCTATGGAATATTTTTTGAATCCAATTTGTGTAGAATCTTGACATATGTCCTTTCCATACATCTTTATCTAACACGTAGTCTTAAATTTTGTAATATGACTTTTCAGTTAAAATATTTTTAATGCAGGTTTTAAACTTAGCAAATACATTTCTTGTGGTAAACATATACATTTCCTTAGTTCAACGAAATTGTGGTACCATGATTTTGGGCTTAGTTCTGAGGTTAATATTGTGGATATCTTCTTTGTTAATTAAATTATGTGTATTTTTATGAGCATACAAAATATTTGAATAAACTAATAAAAATTTATTTTTGAAATGTCGTCAAGTGACAGTGAATAAGACTTACGAAACCTAGAAACATTTATTTAAAAGCCTATGAAAGTTTTATGGATTAGAGGAACAAAAAACGAATTACTTAGTTCTCAGAAAACATAATTTTGACGAGATTTCAAAATAATATCTACCATCGTCATTGTGGAATACTTATTATGTTTATGAAGGACCGTAATTTATAATTAAAAACAATTCCAATTGTACGTTTAACTTTAAGGAAAACATTGTATTCTATGAAGCGCTTTCTTACTTAATTGACTTGAATTTTTCTCGCAATTGTAATGAAAAGAAAGTTTTCACCTCAAAACCAAAAGCCAATATAAACCCTTGGAGTAACAGACACCCTCGCTAGAGCTCGGGTGGCTAACCACCTCGCATATGTACAGGCTCATTTTAATCCCTCGATAAAAATATACAATTTGTTTTTGTGATAATTTTTAAGTGTTGTTTTAATTGTAATTATATTGTTTCACTTGTTGAAAGAAACTAGAACAAGTACCTACTGGCTGTTTGAGTTTGTTCAGGTCACTCGAAGTAAATTTAAAAACTAGGTACTTTTTACTCGTAATGTAATGATATTCATCGAATCTCTTGTTGGACATTTCGGTTGAGCTATAAATCCACAAATAAAGAAATAAAAACACCATGTTCCCTTACCACCCTGTATGTTGTGCCAATTGATGCTGACCCATTCGTATCTAGGTCTAGCCTGATGCATGTGTTGGAAACCAACATTGTGTCCAAATTCGTGGAAGATGATGCCTCCATGCATGCATCCGTTAGGTGCCAGGTTGTGGATGTGAGCGCCCATGTTCTGGTAATAACCGACGTGTGCGTAGCACCCGTCTCCGTGGTTCTAAGTAACAATCAAATGTACAAATTTTCGGGTTTGTCTAAATACTAAAAGAGAACGCTGTTCACAGGTCGACAGTTCATAGCGGCCATGTTGTTGAGGCTGCTTTTGTCAAATCTGTTATTTATTTCACAGTCCCCAAATAAGCAATCAACGTCGGGCAACACTTGCAAATAATAAAAAAATATTATTAAAATGGGTGTTATATTGTGCTGCGCCCATTTTACGGTTTGCGTGGTCGTCCTTCCCAATCGACTATTGAAGTTTGGTTGTCAAATTCGAGTTAACCGGTTCAGTAAATCATCAACGAAACGCAAGATCTGCCGATAACATTGCCGCTGTTTCTAAGAGTGTTCAGGAGAACCCGAGACAGTCTATTGCGTGCGCATCGTAGCCACAATAGAACACCCATTTGATAATATTTTTGTATTATTTGCACGTGTTGCTCAACGCAGTAACTTACCATGAAGATTTGTATTTAGTGACTGAAAAATAAACAACAGATTTGACAAAAGCAGCCTCAGCCACATGGCCGCTGTGAACTGTCAAAGTCGACCCGCTCTTAATGGAAATCCCAATAAAGGTATTTCAACCAAAATTCTAAAAATTGATGACAACGAAATACGTAAATTGGCGAGATAATGTAAATACCACTTTGCAGCTATGTAAATATCACTGTGTCAGCATCAGCAGCAAAGTGTCAAGGGCATAGGTACTCTTTTTTACGTACCAACATTCTGTTGAATTAAACAGAAACCGATGCAGTTAAACCAGAAGCTGAACCTCTTTGAAAATTTGTTACATATATTCGAAGTTGTCTTATTTTTTTTAATATAATAAGTGACAGGACGAACGAATAGTGCGCCTGATGTTAAGAGTCTATACAAACTCAAATGGCTTCGGTTGATTCTGCATAACAGTGCGAGTGTTGACTCAATCACTGTGGAAATAATATATAGTAAAATTAAGGATAAACGCTGATTACTATACGGTGTGAAAATACTATTCCTAAAAATTTTCACTATGGAAAAAACAACCGCTGTAGTCAGTATTACTTTACATATACCAATAATTTTTTACACCAACTAAAGTAAATAAAACAGTTGCAGTACCACTGCGCCTGTCACCCTGAGACAGAAGTTTACAAGTCCCATGTGCCTGTAATTTCACCAGCACCTTTACCAGTCAAAACCGAAATACAGTAATGCTCACATCACTGCTTGGAGGCAGAAATAGTAAAGGTGGTAGTAGTTCTCTGGATGCACTCTCTCACAAGGTGGTCTACTGCTATTAAATCTGTGAATCAAGTCCCATAGCCGTGAGACCTCCTGTACACTTACTGTATAAAAACCGTAGTTGATAAATAAAAATAGTACATAAAGCATTGACTTACAAATAAATGGACGACGGGTCTAATACAAAAACCACGAAAAAAATGTCCCAAGTCAACCTATTCGAAATTTAAATTGTAATGTCATCGCAGTATCGCGCTGTCAGTCGAACAAATGAAGACTAAAGCGGAGTGTCGCGCTCTGTATACGATTTTAGCGCCTTACAAGTGCGGACACTTTTTAGCGCGGACCCGATGTCCATATAATTGTAAGTCAATGACATAAAGAGAAAATTAAGAAAACTTTACCGTGATTCTAATGTGATCGTGCTCCTGGCCTCGTTGACGGAAACGCACGCAAGTGTGTTCTTCATACATGCCCATTATCCCACGAATCTGATTTTGTTCGTTACCATCTACAAGCAAGATCTTAAAGATTATTATCATCGCCGGAGAGATGGAGGTCCAATCCGCACTTATTGTATTATGAAGAAAGTTGTGACATTTTAACCATTGTGTGATTAATTACTCTTGATGAGCTAAATATAATGGCCTAATGTATAACACTATCACTGCCAGAAATAGAGACGAAATAAGGGCAAACCATCCCTGGCAACCCATCAGGCAAATGGGCCTATATCACTTTTAAATATCAATTCTCGTTTGCGCTGAAATCACAAATTAGAAAGCTGAAATAGGACAGCGCCAACAACAGACCTGTGTGTACGTCTTCGTGTATTCCAAAGATATTCTGTATTTATTCGGTGGTGTGGGAAAAACAGCAAAACATCTAATTACAACACACACGGAATCACATTTCAGCGGTAATGAAATATTAAATACGTAATTTTTCAATTTTCATCGATTATAGATATATGAAACTCAAGTTAAACTGGTCGATTTGAAGTGAAACAATTGACGACACCCATCAGACCAGACCAGACATAGAAACGAAATGTCATTTAATTTGTTTGAAAACCATTCTGCCAAATCATTACTGTCACAACTGCGCTCCGATTGGCCAGCCCGAATTCGAAACAATTTTCGGGTGTCATTAAATTTATTTCACTTCAAATCGTAAAGTTTAAATTGAGCTTAGCTATAATGGACGAAAATTGCAAAATTACATATTTAATATTTATTTACCGATGAAATGAGATTCCGATTGTTTTGTAATTAGATGTTATGCTGTTTTTCCCACACCACCGAATAAAACAGCACGGCATTGTTAGAGATATTATCTTTATTACAATAAATACAGAATATTTTTGGAATATACGAAGACGTACACACAGGTCAGCTGTTGGCGCTGTACTATTTCAGCTTTCTAATTTGTGATTTCAGCGCAAACGAGAGTTGACATTTAATGATATAAGGCCCATTTACCTGATGAGTTACCAGGCGTGAATGGCCCTTAATTCGTCTCTATTTCTGGTTATATACCTACTCCATGTTGACATATAATATAATATATAATTTGATATGTAATGTAATACATGTAAATATAAATAGGACAGTAAAATTGTAATGACAATGTGATATTGACATAATAGATTTTAATGTAATAATCTGAATGAAAATCACAATTTATAGTAATTTTTATGAGAATATTTGTCCACCATTATTAGTAGATTTGTGTGATATTATTTACTGTACAGCAAATAGTTTGATACCGAAAAATAGCACAAATAAACATTTTCATTTCATTTGGAACATAGGTACCACATTTTAGGGCTTTTTACATTACAGTCGCCGCAAGATCTGAACATAAGAATTTCACTTACTGTGACCAGCAAATTCGAAGACAAGCGTGCTGCCAGGCCAAGTTCTACCGCGGTTTGCGACGGCGGTCCTTGATGATATGCCAGCGAAGTCATTGACAAGACTTTCAATGTCTTCGTCTGTGACGACTATATCACCCTCGAATTTGCCACTGTTTTCCCATGCACTGGCCCAAGGGCGCTGTTGCATGGTTTCTTCAAAAGTGGTCTCGCTAGCTGGGGAAATGTAGATTTTGAATAATTATACTACAAAGGTTCTTATTTAACTAAAAGTAAACAAATTTCAACTGGTTAACCGGTCAAATACAATATTTAGTAGTGAGGTTCTTACGTCCTATTACTGCTGTACCCTTTAATTTGGTAGCATGTTATTAGCTGTCATCTTTTTAAAGCAACAGCGCTAACAGCGGGCGCAGGTCGGGCGCGTGTCACACACGTGTTTTTAAACATCTTTAATGTTTAGTACTATTTTAAATAGGTAGTACGTTCACAGGTCTCGCTTATGGCAACAAAGCCGTTAGCTTTACGCAGAAAAAGTATAGAAAATTATTACAATATTGCAATCTAGACAAGACGCCAGCAAAAATTCTGGTAAATAAAGCTGATAATATGCAAACAGAAAACCTTACATAGTCTGGTATTCAGCAGAAATTGTCGAAAGGACTCGATTTCTTCCTTCGTCCTTGTTGGGAGGCCCATGGCAACTGCCATCAGACACACCAAAATTACAAAACGCAGCATTGTGCCGAGAGACTGTCGCTGGTTCGAATATTGTTACGACGTATTCCACTGTATTTATATAAATGCTGTTGCAATAAATCATTTTTATCTAATTTAGATGAGCTGTTGATTAAAACATAACGTGTATTGATTCTCAATAATGATTGGATATCAATATAATTAAGTAAGTTATAGTTTCAGCCTGGATTTGCTTTCTAGATATATTTCCATTAACAATTTGCCTGTCACCACAAGTACCATAATAACATTTCCAAGCTTCCCTGTCTTGTTGGAGGTTATGGAGGAACGTTTTTCTCATTGTATTATTAATACTATTATAACAACTTGATAGTGATTTACATGGATACACAGGATATAATCGTCAAGTGTGCCCAGGCAATTATTCCATAAATATAAGAGATAACCTAAAGCGAAAACCTAAGAGCTCGATATAAGTGATATCAAAAAGCTTTAAACTCATATCGTAAGTACGTTACCATTACCATTGATTTGTAAAGTACATGTTTCAATAAAAAGATGTATCAAGATTGTTTACATTTAGTTAATTACCTAAACAAATGGACTATAGAAATATCCAAAATTTTAACAGTACTCAAACTCTTCAATATATGTAATATGACATTCGTAGAGAGACGTTAGTTTTCCTACAGTAAGGGCGCATTTATTTGACAGCGCTCACCCCGCGCGGCCGCAGAGCGGCGCCCGCGTGCGTGTAACTGTCATGGCGAAGCACTTAAAGTACTTAAGTAATTTAAACGTTGTTGCCTAGTAAATAGAATCCAGATTCGCCATTAATGTACATGAAGGCGTGGTAACTGGGCGGCGGCCGCGCGAAAACTTTCTCCTCGTGTGACTAGGCGCTAAGAGCTAACAATAACTTAACAGATGACAAAACTGATACAAATACAGTAATAAAACCATTGACTTACAAATAAATGGACGACGGGTCTAATACAAAAACCACGAAAAAAATGTCCCAAGTCAACCTATTCGAAATTTAAATTGTTATGTCATCGCAGTATCGCGCTGTCAGTAGAACAAATGAAGACTAAAGCGGAGTGTCGCGCTCTGTATACGATTTTAGCGCCTTACAAGTGCGGACACTTTTTAGCGCGGACCCGACGTCCATATAATTGTAAGTCAATGGTTT